AAAAAGATGATACTTTTTAGGAAGAAAGGGTCGAAAGGATGGTGGCAACTACTACCTGTACGAATCTTTATCCCCAGGCTCGGATGTATAACTTGAACCGATGTGGTTCTGATCACAATCCCTTGTTTCTGTAAACTCAACTAAGTGAGCCAGAGATTAAATGGGGCACTTTTTTCAATTACGAAGCCTACTGGCAGAACCATTAGGAGATAAAACTGGTGGTAGAAGAGGGGTGAAAGAAAGCTAGAAACGGCTTAGTCATGGACGAGATAAAAGAGTGTGAAACTAAACCGAGGAGTTGGAGCAAAGAGACTTTTGGAAGTCTCAACACTACAACAAATTCGGCCTATTAAGACAAAATATTTTTTTGTCATTTTTCGTTTTTCACAATAGGTGCAATTATATGACAAAATTGTATATGTCATATTTGGTAAGCCTAATGTGACAAAATGTATGTTTGTCGGAATACTTTGTTAGTTTAAGTGGTTAATGTGACCAAATTTTTGTGTCACCATATGGTTTGTCAAAATAGGTAACCCATGTCGGGATGTATGAGACATAAAGTGACAAATTTTATCGTCAAAGTATCTTTTGTCATATTATGTCTTCCTAAATTGTTTAAATGACAATTTGATTTGTCACAATAGAGAACCATAATCCCTCGCCGTGCGGACAAAATGTAATGCTCATCATAATATAGTGGTTTCGTGTTGTGACAATGGCATTTCGTTAGATTTGCTAGTGTTAGGCTGAAACCTCTTTCTCCGGGGAAAATAAATCACAAAAATAATAATAAATTTCATAAATTTAAACATTATCCTCCTTCCTTGTCTCTCCAAACTGAGCAGTCGATCAAAATCCAAAAAAATCCCTAAAAAAATCACCACCAAAATTCCAAACAGCTTGATCTTTTACCCGTCATTCCACCTAATAACACCCAGCTAGGTGTTGAGTTCACAATTCGAGTTTGAAAAGCCAAGTCTAGCAACTCGTCGACGAAACCAAGCCGCCAACGACAATTGAAACGAAAAAGGGATGGGACTCTCGTGCAATCCTACACCTGAAGGAAGGCTCAAAGAGTTTATGTGGAAGCTCGTCCACAATCAAGGCGGTATTGATCGATACAAGAGCAGGTTCGAGTTTGATTTTCTCGGCCAAAGCTTGTCAACGAAAAACTAGCAATAAGACTTAGTTTAGGGTTTTTTATTTTCTGTATTCAACTCAAAACTACCTTACAATACGTTTGTAGACCTTAAATAGAGATTACAAATAGTCTGGAAAGTAAAAGAAACCGAAACAAACAAGGTAAGCCAAAACAGTCCCAATTCTAATACAAAACTGAAACTTAAAACACAAGTAACCAGCTGGTGTTGATGTCAACTTGGAGACCCTCATTCTCCCTCCTCCCGAGCCCGATTGGATCACCCAATACCTTTTTTTGTACTAGAAAATGCGAACTTTCATGTGGACTAACCCTTGAAGCTCGATTCTCAGCCATTCTTCGTGCCCTGAGCTTTAAAGTGACCTTCTCGAAACTGTCTCATGCCTTAGGCAAAACCTGGCAATTTGCCTGTTTGGCCTTAGCCTTTTGTTGAGCTCGAAAGTCACTCTTTCCAGCATTGCCTCGAGCTCATAGACACTCCAAGTTGTAAAGGGAGTTGTCATCTACAAAACAAACCCTTAAAACCCCATTTTCATCTACCCAATCAAGAGAACAATACCTGCAAAGAGAGCTACCCAAAACAGCTTCTAAACTTAACCAAAAATCCAGGTTTTTCCAGCAAGTTGAATTGGGTTCTTGACTCAACAATTTCCACTTGTACTTTGATCCGTTTGGGATCGTATCACCACCAATCGCGCCGGCCACTCACCCCCGGGTGTTCTGTCATATCTGTTCCACCAATCTCCCCGTCTAACAGTCACTGCCGCAATTCGAAGTTCAGCAATCTCCGCATGCTCAATTTGTGTAGCAAAATCACTGTAGGAAATCGTTCCCGTAGCATAATCTTTCTCGCTCCCTCGTTTCCCGTCGCAAAATTGCTGGCCTAGCAGAACCTGGTGAGCATCATCCCTCCTTCATCTGCCAACTGTGTACTACTTTGTTTGCTTGAGCTTAAGAATATTGTTCGCTTAGTGTCACTCCCATTATATGGCCAGATTGATATTTTGTTGGTTTATGTATCCGAATGAGCTCTTGTGTTTCCTCATCATTGACTAGGTGGCAGGGGCTGCTTATATCTTCGATCCTTCAACCATCCTGTTGTGCTAATTAGAATAGAGAGAAGGCGCCTCAAGCACTAGGCAAAGGTAAGATTAGATGAATGTCTTAAATTTTGTGTTTTAATGAAATGGTGTAAGTGAACTGGTTCCTAATGTTATGTCATATACCCTTTGCAGATTCGTTTCTAGTTCATCTCATGTTGTGCTTCCATCTTGACCAGACCAACTGCCTATAAAGGGAAGGTAAGTTTCTTTACGCACAGATTGAATGAGTAGAAATTGAATTAAGCATAAGGATAGGTTTTGTGATGAATATCAAAAGGGGGTTTCTGAGTTCATAGGGGCCTGACTCGCACGAAACTAAACCACAAATTAATCCCGACTAGAGCCCAAGTTTTTAAACTCTAGTCGGGTGTAGTATATAGCAAGTATTTAAATTGTCAACCCGGGCCGATCCATGTACCCCTACTTCAATCGCTTAGGTAGTTATCTAGCAAACAACTTCAGGGTTTAGGTTTATTGGAACTACAACTAACCAAGCAAAGAAAAGTAAATAAAGGAAAATTCTAACTAAGGGAGACCTAAACCTAAATGTCGGAGTGTTACAGGCAGCAAGGATGGACGTTTTGGCCTCCAAGAAATGTTGTAGGCCGGATCCTTAATTCATTCTCCATTTTATCCATCAAGAATGCTCCCAGTTGATCTTTAAATCGTTGAATTCAAACCTTCATTTTGGGACCACGAAAATTGAATATAGCCCTAGTCGATATCGCATCACATATGGCATGCTATCGGGCTGGAGTACGAAGGGGAGAATAGCTTGTCCTGTCTTTAATAGTGGGACATGCTACGAACGTTTGGATTTCAGTCATAGATAGTGTTACATGGGGCATCGAAGATGGCTACCAATTGACCATAGGTGGAGAAAAAGCCAAAATTTTGATGGGAAGTATGAACTTAGAGGGTTATAATATGCATAACTGGAAAATCAAAACTTCATTTAAGAGTTTGCCATATTGGAAAAATATAGAGTTGAGGCATAATTTAGATGTTATGCATGTTGAAAAAAAACATTAGTGAGAATATAATAGCTACGCAGCTAAATATCGAGGGAAAGACCAAAGATACAACCAATGCTAGACGTGATTTGGAAGACATGCGTATTAGGAAAGAACTACATCTGGTGAAAGACCGTGATAAATATAAAATCCCTCCCGCTTTATACACCTTATAAACTGCACTCTATTCTCGTAAAAATTGCCGAAAACTTCCCATCTTGGTTTAAAACCTTTGTAAGCCCACTTTTTGCCATTTTTTCCTCTTTTCTTACTCACATCATCATAATCTAATCATTGCAGCTAACTCCCCATCTTGATTTACAATTTTTGGAAGCCCACTTTTTTTCATTTGTATCTTTTTTACTCATAGCAGCATAATGTTTTGGCCCCTTTCATTACGTTTTAGGTTGACACGCTTAAAGAGAGTGACCATTTATATGTCCTAGGATTACGAGCTGATGAACATATTACTAGATATCCTGGACTCATCATTAGCGGGGTTCGATACCAAACAAATATGACTGATCAAGGTCATCGAACTCAGAATAGTGGTGTCGTTGTTCGGGCTGACCACAATGGCGAGATAGATTATTACGGGGTTCTGGTAGACATAATTAAGCTACAATATTGTGGAGGGCATCGGGTCTTTGTATTCAAGTTCAAGTGGTTCAATGTGAGGGACAAGAAGAATGGAATAAGGATGGATGGACACTTGACGAGCATAAACGTGGATAGAAAATGGGGTATGGAGGACCCATATGTATTGGCCAGTCAGGCTAATCAAGTGTTCTACATTGAGGATATTAAAAATGGTGGTGCATGACATATCGCCCGCAAAGTATGTCCAAGAAGTTTGTACGATGTGCCCGAGAAGGAGGAAGCAGGACATGGGGATCCATTGTATCAAAATCAGCCATACCAACAGGATGTGAACATTTCTGATTTTCATGTCAGTGAAAGCGACTTAGCGGATCTGAGTCGTGATGACGAGGCACCAACAATTGTTACTGAGCTAGTCATACGAGCAATTGCTAGACGGTCTGCAGCAGTGGAAGAAAGCAATGAGGAGATAGAGGACGACACATCAGATGACCATCATTTCACCACCGAATGAAACTAAACACCAAGATGGGACTGATCCATCCTTCAGTTACGAAGAAGAAGTCGAACAATGGGTTATAGACATAATCATTTTTACACATTAGCAGAGCATTGGTTGCGGGCTTTCGATGTTTACACATTTCTTGGGACATTAGATGTGTACAAATTTTTGGGGGCCTTAGTTTCATTTTAACAGATTTTTGGGTAGTGCTTTATCTGGCTTTTAACTTTTTGGTTGATGCTGTAAATGGAGGCTGGTTACTTCTATCTTAATTTTTTGATATTGGGGTTTGTGTTTTTCTCTTTCCGTGGTACCAATATGAACCCATTTTATGTCTTCGAAATGTTGTTTGATATTGAGGTTTCTAAAAAAATATTTTTCATGAATAATATAAGCAGGAAGTATTTCTTAAAAAAATAATGTTATATTGTGAATTTTTTTAAAAATATACGTTTTTTAGATAAACATTTTTTGGGATGGAATTTATAATAACATTTTGGCATCATCACCGAATATTTTAAAATTCTGATTACGCGAAGAAAATGAAAAATAAAACGCTGAAAAAAATAAAGGAAGGAAAGAGGGAATGAAGAAATCACCCTCTCGCCTCCGTTGCGCCTCGTCTGCTTCTATAAATACAGTAAAAAGTTGCAGTTGGTGCCGACTAAAACCGAGAGAGAGAGAGAGAGAGCGCTTTTCACTCCAATTCTCTCCTCAGCTGAGCACAGTAGTCCATTTTGAGCTGAACGCTCCCAAGGATTTGGCTTAACTCACCTCACACTCTCATCAACTGGCTGTCACAATCACTGCTCTCTCCCGGCGAAAAGCTGCGCTGTGATTCGGCAATAGATTATCTGCGTTAGAGTGAGGGGAAGTATTCATGGATGCTTACGCGCTTCATCTGGCCATGGCGGCTCTGGTTGGTGCGTCTTTTGTCGCCGTATCCGCTTATTATATGCACCGCAAAACCCTAACGCAGTTGCTGGAGTTCGCCAAGACCGTCGAGAGAGAAAGAGACAGGGCGGACAGGGAGGAAGAGAACTACTCCGACGGGGACTCTCCGCAACATTTGAAGAAGCGCCGCAGCGGCCAGAACAAGAAGAAGGGGAACGGTTACTACCGCCGCGCCTCGGCGTCGCTACCTGACGTGACGGCCATATCCGGTGGGGTGATTGACGGAGAAGAGAAGCGGAATGGCCACCTACACGTGGACGGGATTCCCCCTGGCTTGCCGAGGTTGCACATGCTGCCAGAAGGTAATGGCCATGCCGTACTTTTTCGCTGGAGTCATAGCACGGCTTGAGGTGACGGCTCCGTGCTATTTATATATATATATATATATACCAATGGGAGGAATGGAGTGCATATTGTCAAATTTGTGGTCGATTGGATGCTGATCATACTAATTTTCTATGCTTTCCGTTGCCAATCGTCGGAATTGATTTTACTCAGTATTAAACGCCCTAGATGTTCATTTTGCCAACATTGCCAATTTGTTGATCCATATGGCATGCTTATTGAGAGACACTACAGCATTATGTAAGAACAGTACGATTTACTCAGCTAAAAGTTGAGTAGACAGGAACACAATTGATCTCTGACGACGAAAAAAAAAAAAAAAACTGAATGAAGGCATTTACATAGACAGGGTTTATCGGTACTTCTTATCGGAATCTCTATTCAAAACCGAGGTTTTGAGTCATGTTTACACAAATTAGCTAAACACATTTCTTTTATAGATGTAATTGATAGTGTGAATTACCAACATTAGCTTCTATAGATTGTAGAACTAATATTTCGGTTTTGCGCCTTTATTGCCATGTATTCTTATCTTGGTTGAACGGTTTAGAGAGCAGGGTAGGGGTGGGCTTTCTTTACCTGGTGAATGTATGTCCATTTCAGGTAAATCGGCTGGACATACTAAGAGAGCTGGAAATCTCATTAAACCAACTTCTCCAAAGTCTCCTGTTGCCAGTGCTAGTGCCTTTGAGAGTGTAGAAGGGTCAGATGAAGAAGATATTCTTACTGAAGATATCAAGCTAGACGCCGCTTACATGCTCCCTAATGGAATAGCTGTGAGTGTATTTATTTTGTGTGATGAACATAACTCTTGCCACCCTGAAGCATATCATATCATTCATGCATCAGTGTTGCTCTTCGTTCTCCAACCTTTGCTCCCTGTTTGCTTATGCATTTTTATCTCGAGAGGATTTGTTTCTAAACCTACATGTTCAGGAGAATTTATCCGAGAAAATTAACAACAATGGGGAGCAAATTGCAATGGCTGCTGCAAGCATGATCCGTTCACATAGCGTATCTGGTGACCTCCATGGTGTCCAGCCTGACCCAATTGCTGCTGACATTTTGAGGAAAGAGCCTGAGCACGAAACCTTTACACGACTGAGAATTTCTCCCACTGGTATTGCCTACTCTCTGCATTATGAACCTTGTCCCACAACACTTATCTATATTTTCAGTGTGGCATTTCTTACCTGCAAAAATTTTCTGGTAGAAAGCATGATGAACAGTATGTCATGACTCATGAGATACTTAATTGATTATGAGTGATAGCATTTATGTGTTGGTATATGTCATGGTATAAGTTACTGCTTAAAACAAACTGGGGAAACCTGAAACACATGTAAATGATAATGACATTGCTGTAATTTACTCTTTCACCGCTGTCTTCAATGCATCTGGCGGTATTACTGCTTAACAACTTCATTCTTTGCAAGTGTTCAATGTATATAATATCTTTGGTGCAATTGATTCTTAGCTGTCATTAAAGATGTTGTACACAGTTTTCTTATCGTGTAACTTTTACCAGAGGTACCCTCACCTGATGAGGTGGAGGCTTATATTGTTCTCCAAGAATGTCTTGAAATGAGGAAAAGATACGTATTCAAGGAAGCTACTGCTCCATGGGAAAGAGAAGTAATTTCTGACCCTAGCACACCGAAGCCTAATCCAGAGCCTTTCTTCTATGCTTCAGAAAAGAAGTCTGAGGTGAGTTCATTTGTTTGGTCCTTATGCTTAGTTAGACAACTTGCAAATTTTCATTTCTTCTGCCCTCTAATGACTTATTTTTTCCTTGCAGCACTATTTTGAAATGCAAGACGGTGTAGTTCATGTCTATCCTAGTAAAGACTGTAAGCAGTGATAGTCCAGCTCTATTCTTCTGCTATTAGTGACAAACGTGTGAATGTGTTTGCATTTTAACTAAGTCTTTGTTCTTCTCCAGCCAAGGAAGAGCTCTTTCCTGTTGCTGATGCAACAACCTTCTTCACTGATTTGCATCACATACTCAGAGTTATTGCTGCTGGAAATATCAGGACTCTATGCCATCATCGACTTAATCTTCTGGAACAAGTAATTGTCTCCTAATTAATATTTAAGTTACCAATTATTGACTTACAATCTAGTCTTGTGGATAAGTGTTGAAGTTTTGCTTGTTTTTGGACAAATACACAGAAATTCAACCTCCATTTGATGCTTAATGCTGATAGGGAGTTCCTAGCCCAGAAAAGTGCTCCACATCGAGATTTCTACAATGTCAGGAAAGTTGACACTCATGTTCATCATTCTGCATGCATGAACCAGAAGCACCTTTTAAGGTTTATTAAATCAAAATTGAGGAAGGAGCCAGATGAGGTAAAGATTTAATTTCCTGTAAGTTTTAATATCTTATGCATGTTGATCTTTCCTTTTTTGACTTGAGTATAGCTTTTATTTTGGTTAAAGGAGAATTTAGCTTTTGGATACAGCCAATGTAGTTAACATTTATACATGATATGGTGATTGGCTTCTGTCATAGTTAGTTAATGTTACGTGCACATTCAGGTTGTGATATTTCGAGATGGGACTTACTTAACCCTGAAAGAAGTTTTTGAGAGTCTGGATTTGACCGGGTAATGAATTATGCAGTTATCTCTGTTCTTCCTTAAGTATAATCCTTGCGACCAAAAGCGTAATCTTGTCGGCATTTTCTTGAACAGGTATGATCTCAATGTTGACCTTCTTGATGTTCATGCGGACAAAAGCACGTTTCATCGGTTTGACAAGTTTAACCTTAAGTACAATCCTTGCGGCCAAAGTAGACTCAGGGAGATTTTCCTTAAGCAGGATAATCTCATCCAAGGTGCACCTTATTGTCTTGTTAGATTGCAGGGTGGAATGCTGTAGCAGCAATTACAAAATCACCTTTAGATTGTCACTTCTGTGCCTAAGGAAAATATAAGGCTGGAACAAGAACCCATAATCGTATTCTAAGGACTTCTATTGCCAAAATTTGATATGGGATTCTCTATGGACCTCAACAAGGACATGAATTCGCTGGTGTATCCTTATAGTTGGCGCCATCTGGAAGCTAAAGGCTGATAGATAACTATTTTCTTACTAATTACTTTGATGCTTGATACAATCCTCACACGATGGTCAAGCTATTTCTATCTGGTTATTTCTTGTTCTTTGTGAATTTGGGAGCTTCTCCATATGTTCTTATTGCAGTATGTTGATAACAGGTCGTTTCCTTGGGGAGTTAACAAAACAAGTGTTCTCTGATCTTGAAGCAAGTAAATATCAGGTGCTTTATGGTCTTGCTTCTTGTGGAATTGGTACTACATGGATATATATTCTACTTGTCTTCTATTTTCTTGGATTCATCACCTGTTGAACTGCTACAGCCTCTGGGCAAGTATGCTGTGTTTCACAACTCACTATCAGCGTATGTGAGTAAGAGAGTTAGTTCAATCCTGGTCTGTAGTGCAAGGACCTGTGTTTTGTTCCTTATCATTTAGCTTTTTGAGTTTGAGATAAGGTAGATGTTTTTGATTTCTAAACATCAAGAAAACGCTGTTGGATATTTTTTCTGACAAGAAAAAAAAAACGCTGTTGGAGTTTCTTGCTCAATGCTGATAATTAAGTTTGACTATCTGGATTGTATTTTGATGAGTGGTGCATGATGTTTTTCATGTAGATGGCTGAATATAGAATATCAATCTATGGAAGGAAGCAGAGTGAGTGGGATCAGCTCGCTAGCTGGATAGTTAATAATGATCTATACAGTGAGAATGTTGTTTGGTTAATTCAGGTACTGAATAATCTTCCTGATTGCATGGGTACTTTGTTTTTATATACTTATTCTATATTGTTTATGTTTTGCATATTCCAAGTGTAGTGTGCTTGGTGCAACTTGAGCATTAAAAGCTTGCATTTGGCTTCTGTTTCGTGACATAGTTTGGAGTTTAAGCAGGAGGCATGGTTTCTTGCATTTTGAAATTTGTCAAATGCATGCTGGTTCTGATAGTGGATGCTGATTAATGTTTTACAGTACTGATATTGGTGGTCTAAGGTACTATAAGGAGTATGCTTGAGACACTTTTGTATTTCTGTTTTCATTTTCCTTTTGCAGCTTCCAAGACTCTACAACATTTACAAGGAGATGGGAATTGTGACATCATTTCAGAATATCCTTGACAACATATTTATTCCACTCTTTGAGGTCACTGTTGACCCAGATTCGCATCCTCAGTTGCATGTTTTCTTGAAACAGGTATGTTCCTTCTTCCTTATGATTTCTTGGATACATGTGCAATGTGACCAGGCTCATGCCTTTTTTCTTGTTGGTGAAAGCCTGAATCATGCCTTCCCCACCTGCTGATTTCTCTGTTTTATTTGTAAATGATCTATCCATCTATTATTTGCCTTTAATCTAGAGAGATTAGTAATGAAAGGAAGTGTATTTCCAAAATGAAACAGAAACAATGCAATCAAAATGTCTTTCTTTTCTCGTGTTAAAAAAAAAGTTATCTTTGTTTTCCACTGAAAATTAAAAAATCCTACAATATCGAGAGTGGTAAGATGTAACATCTTCCTTGAGGGTTTTCTGTTTAAGGATTACCAAAGAGAATTAATTGCATGTTAAATTAGTACAATGAAAACACTTAAATAGTTGTTTACATTTGGTCTACTTCTTATGTCCATTGTACAGTTTTACATTATTAATTGTGCCTGTAGCTGCTGTTTAAGTGTGAACGTCTGGTGCACCTTGTTGTGCTTTTGTACCTTTTACATCTTTTGTCCACAACTTTGCTTACATATTACTGATTAACGTGGTAAATATGTGGTCTTTTCACTCAGGTTGTTGGGTTGGATTTGGTTGATGATGAAAGCAAGCCGGAAAGACGTCCCACGAAGCACATGCCCACTCCAGCTCAGTGGACCAATGTGTACAACCCTGCATTTTCATATTATGTGTACTACTGCTATGCCAATCTCTACACATTAAACAAGGTTCGCATTGGAGTTTTTGTAGGCCTACAAAATATTTGCCATTCTACTTGCATGTTCAATACTGTTTCTTTCAACTACATTGTCCTCGTCCTTGTGGTCCTTCTCCTGCTTATATGGGAATGTTACCATGAAATATCATTTCCCAGCGTGTGGTAACATATTGACTGGGGTACTCTGATTATTAGAGCAGTGGTTGGATGTTGATCCTTTAAAATTTATTTGTTCACAATGTTTACCCTTTTATGATTCCAAATTTTCAGCTTCGTGAGTCAAAGGGCATGACAACCATCAAACTCCGCCCGCACTCTGGAGAGGTACTCGTGTAAATGTACATAGTCATTTTCAAGTATGTATTTTCCCCTGGAATTTAACTTTGTGAATACCATAAAAAAAAAAAAATTAGGCTGGAGACATTGACCACCTGGCTGCAACATTTCTCACGGCTGAAAATATAGCTCATGGGATCAACTTGAGGAAATCTCCTGTACTTCAGTATTTATATTACTTGGCACAGGTATGGCTAATGTTTACCCTCACCCTAATCTTTGGATGCTACCACAACTAACTCTTGCTGACACATTTTTCCCCTCTAAAAATTGTCAGATTGGCCTGGCTATGTCTCCTCTCAGCAACAATTCTTTGTTTCTCGACTACCATCGGAATCCTTTTCCAATGTTTTTCCTCCGAGGCCTCAATGTCTCTCTCTCTACTGACGACCCTCTCCAGATCCACTTGACTAAAGAACCCTTGGTTGAAGAGTACAGCATTGCTGCTTCTGTGAGATCTCATACCTTCTCCTAGGATAGATTTGCTATGAAGTTTTTTTTTTTTATAGTTTCTTTAAGATTGCAATGAGATTAATTTCTCTTCCCCTATCCTTTAAGGTATGGAAGTTGAGCTCATGCGACCTCTGCGAGATTGCTCGTAATTCAGTATACCAGTCTGGTTTCTCTCATGCTCTGAAGGTATGCACACTTCACCTATGAATCAATAGAGAAACGCAAGGGGGAAAGAAACATATGTTGTAGAACTTGTAATGACAGATGCCCTCTGCTTGTTTCAGTCGCACTGGATAGGGAAGCAGTACTACAAGAGAGGACCAGATGGTAATGACATTCACAAGACAAATGTACCCCATATACGCGTTGAATTCCGTGACACTGTAATGCTCTGAGAACCCTTCAGTCTGTTTCGAATCCTATATGAGGCCATGGGCTTGATTCCTAATGCTTTTTTGTGGCATTGTCTTTATCTTTTATCTGTAGATCTGGAGGGACGAGATGCAGCAAGTTTACCTTGGGAAGGCGGTTATCCCCTACGACGTGGACAAATAAGTGAAGCATATTAGCGGGCTGCAGTTTGATCTGATTTGATGAGCTAGGTACCTGCAGGCGGCAGTTGAGTTTAGTATTTTTTTACAAGGGAATATATGCTTGTATATAAGCTCATCAAATGGACTCCCGGGCAAAAAATGAAGGAACATAAAGAAAGAAAGGAGAACCAAAATTGACAAGCCAAGCTTGCACATCGTCAGCGATGAAATGTTGTCTACTTGGAAATGAGAGGGGCGAGAGCGCAGATGTAGGAACAAAGAATCAAACCTCGTCCAAACAAGGAATAAGTTATCTTCTAATGCTACTAATTGATCTACAGGCAGCTGCCAGAATATAGCCTCTGAACTATGCAGGTCGTAAGATGAATTTTGTACTCGCCGCAATCGATAATGTGTAGGATCTGATGAGATACACAATACTAGGGGTGGGATTCGGTCGGTAAACAATTTACCGTTTACCGAATTTACCGGTTTCGGTATACCGAAGTTGACCAAATTGGTTACCGATTACCGATACCGGTTTGTAACCGGTTTACCGAATTACCGGTAAACGGTTACAAACCGGTATTACCGAAATACCGTGAGAAGCGATTTCGAGCGATTTTTCGGTCGGTTTACCGAATATTTACCGAACCGAATTTCTGGAAGTGGGGTGATGTTGTAATATTTTGATTTTTTTTTAGGGTTTGGCCATTTGGGTAGCAACAAAACGCGGCGCAACACTAGCGAGTAGGGAGGGGAATTTCGGTATCGGTATTACCGATTTACCGTCGGTATTTACCGATACCGTGTCCGGTAAACCGACTCCCCCAACTTCCCTCTCGGCTACCGATACCGCCGGTAAACGGTTTACCGTTTACCGCCGGTTACCGGTTCGGTAAAACGGTAAACCGTTTACCGAATTACCGTTTACCACCCCTACACAATACGGTGTATGGGATTTAACATTGTAACGCTGAGATGACTATACTTTCAGGTCTGATGCCGTTGTCCTTTTTCAGGTCTAATCCCCGTCCTTTTATTTTGGTCTTACCTCCAAATTCTTGGTCCTTAACCGGTATTTTAGTGTAGCGTTCATTGGTTTTACTGTTTGATTGTTTGAATGTTCATGCTGCATTGACATGGAATTTGCTACTAAGTAATAACTTGTCCAGAGATGGAACTCAAAACAGTTGTCTTCCTCTTCTACATTTAATAAGCCCTCAATTTCCCCCTTCCTCTCTGACTTCTGTCACGAACTAAACCCTTATGTGAGGTCTTATCTTTCAAGTCATCTTAGAGACCTAAGTCGGGATTTGATTTGCTCACAATCGCACGCACTCACAAAATTAGAGGAACTCTCCTCAAAGTCGTTATTGCTCTAAATTTTCTGGATGATTACAAATGAAGGGAGGCGCTTCTTATATAGGTCTCACCTCCAAAATGAGCGAATAACATCTATCTAATCCTACGACTAAAATCTAGCATATAGAATTCTGTACATAAATATTTACATTCTAGAATTCTATAAGAAAATATTTGTAAGTCTCCTTACCCTTCCATATGTTTTCGAGGTCTTTTAGAATGTACTCCACTCTTCACGATGCTTTTGTGCTTGAACCTCACTAACTCTTGCATTTCGTGTGTGACATTCTCCCCCACATAATTCACGACGCCATCGTTGTTCGCATGATCTTCGTTGTTGTGACGTGCTTGATGGTGTGCCAAGGGTGGCCTTGGCTCGGGCATGAATCTCATGGCCCTAAGATATAGCACTCTCTTTCCCTCTACCTTCTTCAGTTGGACTTAAAGCATCATGCCCGCTTCATCTTGGTCCTCACTTCCGTCATTTCGGCCTACATTGCCGAGCAAGCCTTCAAATATCCAGGCGCCCCTCTCAATACTGGCACCATGCATCGCTTCACTCCTTCGAAGTTAAGCACTGAATTTTCAAAAGGAATCGGTAAATGTCTTTTTTTTTGTCCATAAAATCCACGTCGATGATGATCAGATATTTGTCTATCGATACCACATGGAATTCCACAACTCCAATCCGATCTCCTAGGATTATCGATGCCTTGCGAGCAACTCAATGTGTTGGTGTGGCCTCCACATTGACGGTCTTCAGCCACCCCTCCTCTTCTCGTACAAGATGCTTAGTCTTCGAGCTTCATCTGCATCGAGGAAGTTGTCATAAACTTTGGTGTCCACCAAAGTACTCGCTTTCCCTTGTTGAGATTCGCCTCCATGAAGCATCTCCCCTTCCTCTCGGCAGGAGGAGGACCTTCCTTCTCCTTCATTATGCCTTAGACCCATAGGTCGCCCAAATTAGAAGTTTGACACTCCACCTTTGGAGTGTCCTCCTCCTCCTCTTTTGATCCCTTCCATAAGTATCGCGACCAACTTACTCTGATTTGGTCATTCCTTACGTGATGTGGACCTTCAAAAATAAACAAGAAATAGGTTTATCATCCATTCCGCCCTTCCCTCCTTTGCTATGTTGTGAGTACTTTCCGTTGTTGGAGTGGTCTTCATGGTATCCCTCACCAGTGCGGCATAATGACTCTTGCTCCTCGGGCCTTTAGTACTCAACAAGGGACTCGGAAATTCATTGCCAAGGCAAAATCTTCAACACCCCGTTGCTGTAGCTCCATCCTCGTCCATGATTGCAAGCCATTCAAGAATGCGAACAAGGCTTCCTTGTCCGGGAAATCAGGAATCTCAAGAAGAAACTCAAAAAAGTCTTTCACATACCCAAAAATTTCACCATTGTGAGCAAGGTGCCTCAGCCTTGACCTTGCTTCAAGCTCCGCATTTTCGAGGTAGAATTGTTTCTTGATATCCCCTTGGAGTCCGCCCAACACTCCATGGTGAACATCCCTCTATCAACATCGCCTTGAAATCTTCTCGAACATAGCATAGCAGTGTCCACCAAACAAAGGATTGTGGTACGTACCTTGGCATTATCATCTCGAATGATGGCTGCCTCAAAGTATTGCTCCAAGTACCACTTGAAGTTCTCTTACTCCCTAGCATTTCTTGACCGTTAACAGCTCATCGGTCTTGGGAACATCCACACTTGCAGAGGGTTGTGCCATAATAGGTCCATAGACATGGCAACCTTTAGGAGATTCACATATTCTTTTAGCACCACAACCTCGTCTTGCATGCTAGCAAGCTTGGCTCGAATAGTCTCTCTAAAAGATTCTGCGGTGCTGTCGAGGATGCCAAGTAGCTTGTTATGAAGTGCCTCCAAGCCCTCTATAACCCCGTCATGCGTTGCACCGTGCCTCGCATATCGCCAACGAGTTATTGTACCCTTGCCTCCACCTGCGTGTGGCTTTGGCACAAATCCTCAATCATGTCAATGTGCTCGATAATCTTGAGCTCTGCCCTCGCACGATGCTTTTTCACCTTTGTCACCACATCACAAGCTTTTGTTTGATACTTTTTGTTAGAACTATGGTTCTTCATGTAACGTGGAATGAAGCTAACCAGATAGATTAGAAAGAGATTTAGGAATTGAGAGAAAGAATTAGGAATTTCAGAAGGAGAGTTGAGAATTGAGACAGGAAGAACAAAATTAAGATTTAGGAATTAGAAGAGGGATAATTTAATATGAATTTTTTATAGATTTTTAATTAATTATGATGTTATGCCAAAAATACATTTATATAGAAAATAAATAAGAAACCTACAAATATCCGTATGAATATTCGACCTGGACTAGCCACTAACCCCTATAACTAATATTAATATTTAATAATATTGAAAATATTAGAAATGTATGTTTCTAACACTTTTCCCTCTTTGGCCTCACTAGGGAAAAACCATTAGACATGAGTTTCGTCTAATTGAGTATGTAGGATAAACACGACATTGTAATTCTCTAAAGTTTGAGCGAGAAAAAAAAATCTATTGAATTCGCTGAAAGTGGCCATCACTAAAATCCTATTTCACCGTCGTCAACAAAGACATGGGTGAAACCTAATTGGATCGAACTAGTCCCTTTCCTCCAGTAAAAAACCCATGGAGACACCTACTATATTTGAAAATTAACCATCAAATAATATTTAGCGTTTTATAGGTAAACATACAAAATTTGACAGCTCACAAAGTAAACATATGCTACAGCTCAAATAAATTACAACTGATGGATTTCATCCATGCATATTATTATCAATGGTTAACACGTGTCAACAACTACACCATTCTAGGCCAAGTTTAACTTAAAATGACGCTGTCGTATAGTGGCAATCAAGGTCGTATTCACCCGGATCCTGGTACCCTAGCCTACTTCCCACGTTGTTATCTATCCAATCGGTTTAAGGATTTGTTTAGGAGGATATGAGTGAACTACTAGTTAAGAGGGCAAATAAAGATAAAAGCAGGTCTTCGGGGAACTATCCCCCACCCTAGCTTAGGACTACTATGCAATGTCCAGATACTTAGGGTTTGTCGAATATGGTGCGTGAGCTCTTTTCCGTGGGCTTTCATGGTTATCCACATGCCTCCGATTACGCCTCCCCTAAACCCAAATAAAGTCACCTCGATCTAGACTATCATATATGGGGCATTAAACTCTTAGCTCCTTTCGATGGGTAATACCCACCGTCCACACCGAGGTTTCGTCACGGGTTCTATCTAGGAAGGCATTCCTACAATACATCTAACCTCAATTATCTTGATGGCGCGTACCCGTCTAACCCTAACCTCCATACTCAGCTTAGAAGCTCAAGTAGTCTAATCGAGAATATTAGGGTGACTTACCCAAACACAATCAAAGATAGAATAGCATGCAAATCAACTAGATAAACACATTCATTCATTAAAACCCTAAAATATCCAACATACATAATTACCCTAAAACTAGGATTCGGGGTTTAGAACCCCTAGTACCTTAGAGGACTACTCCATAAAGGACAAAAGAAGATACATAAAAGAGGTGGAAGACTTGATGTTTAGGAAGATGGCTCCTCTTCTTTTAGCTCCTTCTCCTTCCTTCAGCTTCTCTCTCTCTCTCTCTCTCTCTCTCTCTCTCTCTCTCTCTCTCTCTCTCTCTCTCTAAAACCATAAATTCTATCTCAAAATCAGCTCACTTGAATGAGGGAAAGGGTTCTTCTATTTATAGGCATAAGAGGACGGAGAAAATCGCGGGCAGGGAGGGTGGAGATCGCCGGAGAGATTTTCTTCATGGAGGCCGCGATCTCGAAACGCTGCCGTTTTTGCCTTCGGGGATGAGGAGTTTGCAATTTGACTTCGCAGTCGCGGCGGCAAACTTCCTCGCGGTTATTTTGTACTTCGGTCGTGTCTTGCTTGGGGAAACTCTCTGTTTCTCCTTGGCTGCTTCCTCACAAAGTTCGCACCCTGAGCCCTCCAGATCGCGGTCGCGATCTTGGGATTCTAAGCTACGATCTTTGGGTTGACTTCGTAGGCATGGTTCTCGATCTTGATCTCTAGCTCCAGGCTGCGATCTTCAGTCTTCAGCCCCATTTGCTACACTTGCGATTTTATTTTGTACCTAATTCGCATGTAATGTCTAAAGCACCATAAAATTACGTTGAAATCAAATAGGAACGAAATAGAGATGCAGTTGACACTATTCAAACAATTAGGTACATGAATTGGCACAAAACAAACCTTAATATGAAGGGTAAATAACACCAATTTAGGTGTTATCAAACTCCCTCACACTTAGGCGTTTGTTTGTCCCCAAGCAAACCTACTAAAACCAATGCAACATGATATACAAAATAATGGGGAACATACTCTAGTTCTTCATTGCATAAAGAAGAGTAGACGGAGACGAATGAATGTTACTATCATCTTACCGTGCAAGCACAAACTCTCAGGTATACTTACTACCTTCGGCCAAACATTCAAGGTGTGCACTGGGGGATTCTCAAACAACAAATAAGCACAAGAACTCTCGAAGGTTCTCTTTATTCTCTCTTGTAATTTAGGAGTTGTCGTTTATTGGTTTCCTTTTTCGACATTAACACGCATTGCACCAAGGTTTTGCACTCTTTTGCAAGCAAGCATCTCTCC